GAGAGTCTGCAGCCGCTGGCAGCGCGGTTGCCACACGCGCTCCGTTGCCAGGCTGTGGCCGAGCGTCCCCGCCACCCCCGGAGCCGCGGACAAAGGGAAAAGCCGCGGGGAAGCCTCGGGAAAGCGGCGGGCTCGGGGAGGTCCCCGGAGTCACCTGCGGCCCCCGGCGGTGCCGGGGCGCGGGATGCGGGATGCGGGATGCGGGATGCGGGAAGGGCCGGAGCCGAGCTCGCAGCCCCGGCGGGCCCGGCCGTGCAGCGCCGATGTCACGGCGGGCCGGGATGCGGGAGGACTCTGGGAATTGCAGTTCCCGTGCCCGGGGCTCGGGAGCTCCCCGCCCGCCGGGGTTTGATGGCTCAGCCCCGCCGCTCCGGCAGGAAACGCTGCCCAGCTGCGACAGCGCCTTCTCCTCCCCAGCAGTTAACTGTGCTCAGGTGATCCAGAGAAATACATCAATATATAGCTGTTAAAAAGCAAAAGCATATCTATGTATAAGTATATTACAGTATATAATAATAAAGTAACTATATATATTATAAGTAAAAATATTATGATATTATAATAATCATTAACTACATATATTTATATATAGTGTATGTATAAAGTATATATAAATACATAAATATATTTAAATGTATATTGTATTAATAATATAAGTATTAATAATATAAGTATGTATATAATATATGTACATTATATATATACATATATAAAATATATAACATATAAATATTATACATAAATATATACAAATATATATTTATATATTATATATAAAAATTATATTTGTATATAAATAAATATATAAAAATAAACTTATATAAAGTATAGATACACTTTATATATAATAAAGTATATAAATATATAGAGAGAAGTATGTATATGCATGTGTGAAAGTATATCTATAAAAGTATATAAATATGAATATATAGAGAGAAGTATTTTATATGTATGTGTAAAAGTATATATAAAAATATATAACTATAAATATAGAGAAGTATATATGTGTATGTGTGTGAAAGTATATCTATAAAAGTATATAAATATGAATATATAGAGAGAAGTATTTTATATGTATGTGTAAAAGTATAAAAATATATAAATATAAATATATAGAGAGAAATATATATGTCTATGTGTGTGAAAGTATATCTATAAAGGTATCTAAGTATATATCAAAATATGTGTGTATACATGTATATGTATTTAAACTCTATAAGTACATATCTATTAACATCTATATCAATAAAAGTATATGTAAATATAGATGTAAATATATATGTGTATGTGAAAGTACATATATAAATGTATCTAAGTATAAATATATATAAGTATGTATGTATAAAGTGTATATATATGTGTAAAAGTGCATCTATATAAAATTATATAATTATAAACGTGTATTATAAAAGTGTGTGTATATATGTATCTATATTTAAACTATATCTGTATGTATATTAAAAAGTATATATATAAATATATGTATATATGTGTGTATGTGAAAGCACATATATAAAAGTATATAAGTATAAATATATATAAAAGTACATGTATATATATTTATGTAAATTTAAAGTATATATATGTGTAAAAGTACACAAAGTAGATATATAAAATTACTATAAAAAGTGTTTATATGAAGTTATATAACTACAAATGTATATATAAAAGTATGTGTATGTATGTGTGTAAAAATACATATCTATAAAATATAAAACTATAAAAGTATATATTAAAGTATGTGTGTATATATATTCAAAATATATATGTGTAAAAGTACATATATAAAAGGTTATATAATTATAAAAGTATATATATATGTATATATATTTAAACTATATATGTGTGAGTGTATATATATAAAAAATAATAATTATAAAAGTAGATATAAAATACATATGTAAGTTTATATATTCATTTATATATACTATATGTTACTATATATATTATACTACTATATTATTTATATATACTATATTTATATCTTTTTAATATAAGTATATATTCATTGCTATTTATATTAGTATATACTCGTGCATATATACTATATTTATATACTTTCAAATATATTAATATCAATATATACACATATAGTAAAATCATATATCTATATTAGTATATATACAGTGTGTATATATACTATACTTATAGAGTAATAAACTCTATATTTTAATATTTCAAAACCATTTAAGCTGTGATCAGGAAGCACAACCGAGTAAGGAAATTTTAATTGCTTTAATGCATATAAATACACAATTACTTGGTGTGTCACAGTAAAAGGCTTGTACACCTCTTGAATCTCTGGGGGTTTGGCATCTCAAATAATTCACTGGAATTAATGTGGTTTTGGTGCTCGTGGCACTTCTGTTGCACTGAAAGTAGCACTGAAAAGAATTAAAAATGAAGTTTATTTTAAGTAAAGGCTTCCTTCCATGCTAAGCTGATTTGCCTTTTTCTCTTTTTCAAATTTCTCGGTGAGAAATGCATTTTACCACTTTCTAAACTTTTTTTTTTTTCCATAATAAAGTTGTGGTTTTCCCACAATTCTTTGCCTCTGATTATAAATCCTGATCATCCCCCCGCATCACTCTATTTTTAGCCCTACCAAAAGAAAAAAAAATGTAATTTCAACAAATAAATGTGTCCAGAGAGAATGGAAATGGCAAACGGATCCATCTTCATCTTTCTGAAGAAAATGACACAAAAACAGTTAAAATGCAATTTAGTCGGGTTGCTGGGAAGTGGAGTCCATCATCAGTCAGGAATTACTAATCTTGAGACTGGAAAAAAGAGAAAGAAAGACAAGAACCGTTCCTAGAAATTTTTTAACATTAAATTAAAGGCAGAAAAAAAAGAGGAAAACTTCTTTTTCCTGAAAGCAATCTATTCCCCTCTGCAATCTCTGCCAGTGACTCCTCTTACCCCACTGGGATTTCAGATTATTCCAAGTGTTCATTCCACACTTTTCCCTCCAAAAGCATCACTGAGGCAGTGGAAGGGGAACCTGAGGGAAACACAAAAGGGGGAGCAGGAAGGGCCCCACATTTTCCAGCTGTTTGGGTTGAGGCTGGGATCTGACCAGGCACCTTTGGGCACCGTGTTGGTGCTCCTCAAAATTCCCTCCTGGATTTGGAGGTGCTGTTAATGGTTGGAATTGATGATCCAAGAGGTCTTTTCCAGCCTTAATAATTCCACGGCTTTCAGAGAGCCAAAATCAAGAGTTGCTTTTTTGCAACTCTTGATTTTGCATTTTGCACCCTCCAGCCCCAAATTCACCTGGCTCAAATCATTAATGGTGGAGAAGGCTGTGAGGGAGAATAAAAAAAATTAGGGATAACATGGATTGGGGCTGCTTCCCTCCATTTCTACCTCATTTTTTCTTTATTTTCCAGAATCCATCAAACAACTCTTCACCCCAGCACCTTCTCGTGTCTAACCCTGTGTCACCTGCAGCTGCTGGCAGCAACAAAAGCCTTTCAAACACTGTAGAAGACAAAAGAAATGTGTGTCCAAGGCAGAAAAGATACAGGGCTTCCCCAAACAGGAGTTTATTCAGTGTTTGTTCAGGCCCCAGGACAATAAAACCATTCTGAGCAGCCTCTGCACAATGGGTGGCAGAGGAAAAGCTGCTTCAGGCCGAGCTGGGCAGCACAGCCTCGTCTTTGTGGCCTCTGAAGTCTCCAATTTAATTTATTTTCCCAGCAGAAAGCCTCTGATACCAATCCCACACCTGACCAACAGTATAAGGCGTGGTTCTTGTCAGCAAGCAACCCGAAAATGCATTTATTTTTCTTTATTCTTCACACCAAGCAAAAAAAAAGGCATCTTCTCATTCAGGTAAGTCACATTTAAATCAGAGGTAATAATTAATGAGGTATTCCACAGAATCATTTTACAGCAACCATAGAGTTTTAATCAATATAAGCTTTTTTTTTTTTACAGACAAATTTCTTTTCACTGTAACACTGAAACGGAGGCAGAATGTGATTTTGGATGGGTTTTGTTACAAATATTCATGCAAAGGCGCTTTTTTTTTTCTTTTGTTTTGGACAAAATGAGATCTCACCTGGGCAGCTCTCTCATTGTAAAATGGATTGATTACAATACAAAAATAAAAAAGGTTCCTATAAATCACTGCAGGTTGACAGGGTCAGGAGGCACGGAGCTGGCTGGCTTTGGAATAAGAGAGGAATGTGTTGCAGCAAGAAGAAAAATTGGGGAAGCAGAGGAGTGTTGGCAGCCAGAAAAACAAAAAAAATGAAGCAAAGAAATGCCAAGGCATTGGGCTGCTCTGAAAACGCTGGGGGTGGTGGATGGAGAAAACCCCAGGTTTTCCATGGAGAAAACCTCCATCCAAAACTGCAGGTGGCAGCAGGGACAGGGTGTGAGGAACACAGGAAACGTGGAGGTGCAGAGCCAGGACATGGTGAAAATCCTCCCTCAGCAAGGCCAGGCCAAGCCAGCACGTGTGGCATTGAAAATGTCCTTTTCCTCTCCCAAAAAAATGGTTTGAGGGAAGGGAGTCAGAGGAACTCTGCTCCCTCCACTGGCACCAAAGCAGGAGACAGGACAGGAGGTTTGAGACCTTTCTTTCCCAGTTGGGATGAGTTAAAATCTGACAATCTGAGCTAAAATCAAAGTCTGACATG